TAATCAGTTTGTCTCTTTATTCGTTGTTATATATCCTATCATCTCTAATAATGTTGACTAGATCTTGCTCTCACAAAGCTCTTTGGACCTCTTCAGCCTATGTCGAATCCTCCACTTTCTACATCTGGGTCCACCCACACCACAGCCATGTGATCAGTCTGGTCCTCTATTAGAAGTTATATATCTTCTTGTTGCTAATAATGTTCTATCAATTTTCTTCTTACAGAACTCCTTGGACCTCTTAATCCTGTGTTGCATCTTTTCTTCTCTTATTCCAGGTTCTCTACGTCACAAACTCACGTGATCAATCTGTTCCTCTATTACAAGTTATATATCTTATCATCACTAATAATACATACAAGCTCTTTCTTTCACAGAGAACCTTGGACCTCTTCATCCTGTGTTACATCTCCACTCTCAAATTCCAGGTTCTCCACATAACAAAGTCATGTGATCAGTCTGTTCTTCTAATAACAGTTATATATCTTATAGTCACTAATAATGTTTAGTAGCTCTACCTCTCACAGAAGACCTCAAATCTCTTTAGCCTGTGTTACATCTTTACTCTCTATGCCCAGGTCTTCCTGCTTCACAAGGCCATGTGATTGATTTGTTCCCATATTAGAAGGTATACTATATATAAACCATTATATATCAGACAGGTCTCTGTATTGTATTAACAAATTTTACTATTTTGGATGATTGATTATAAACAGTTACTTTGTATTGAAACGATGAAACGCTAAAGAAGTGGTACACTGAAACTGTAAAGTGCGTCAGTTTTAACTTCTGTCAGCCTTCACTGTCTCGTAATGAAACACTTTCAAAATTTGCAAACTGTAATGATTGCTCCCGTATAAGAATATATAGACAACAACAATGCTGTTCTGCGGAGAGGTGCTTTTATTTATTTTTTGTAATAAAAGTTTAATGAACAATACGCATATAACAAAATAAGGTATAACAAAACACATGGTAACAAATAAACCTTCATCATATGATAATAAAAGAGGAACATTACGTATACCAGGGGAAAGATCCTATTTTAGAACAGGGGGAATAGTGCAAGTCGTCCAGAGAAAAAGAGAGAAAAAGGGAGAAGTAGAAGAAAAAAAGAAGAGAATAGAAAATAGAAAAAGACAAAAGAAAACAGAGGAAAACAGAAGAGGGCTGGAGCTCTATCCTCCCCCCCCCCCCCCC